GCCATCACCATCACCTCTCTCTGGAACCCAATGTGTTTAGATCTCTAGACCTTCGGTTTCTACACCTCTAAACCCTAGGCCCTAGACCTTTAGACACACTGCTTGGGGTATTTTGCCGGGAAAAAAAATGATGACTATTTGGGTCTAGTACCAAAAACCTTATTCCGTTTTTTTTGAGCGCTTCAAACAAAGTCTTCCTGAGTCCAACCATTGACTGACTAAGATTCAGATGTTCCTGATTCGTTCAGGTCTCGTGGAAGCTCCGCCGTGGTCTTTGACGAGAAGTGGGGACTTGTTGAGAGAGGTTGTGGGTGCTGTGCGAGGTGTGCTGTTGAATGGAAGCTGGTGCTTAGAAGGTGGTGCATTTTTTGTTGTTGGTTTTCTTTTTCCCACTGGTGTATTCATGTCCAAAGAGTCCAGATCTGTCGAAATCATAAACTACCAGTGGACTCCGGCTAGCTGTTTTGTGCGAACTGGATTTTACTTTTCGTTCGTAAAGTGGAAACTATGGGTTTAAAAGAATGTTGTTTTAAGTGTTCAATTTTGACTATTATATACATGTACTCGCTGGTGCTTCCTATGTGATAGAACATGGGAGCAAAGATCCATGATTGCTTGTGCTCAACTGACCGACCAACTCTTCTCGTACATAGCTCACACACTGGCAAACTTGGAGTCCGGAGCGCTACTCGGGCCCACACATGTTTTTTGTTATAAATTATAAAGCTACGTAAACTAATCATGTAATGTTCAAAGCCAAGCAGCCTCAGAAGCCTGTTTGTGCAGAGTATCAGCTGCTTTGATCCTGAGCAATTCATGACCTGGCGCCACCGACACGCCTTCCATGAGCCAACATGTTGACAAGTCCCGGGTGCACGTTGGAATTGTACGAAGCAGTAGTGCACACATCTTGACATGTAAAAAATGAATTAACAAGTAACAAGTGAGATGTTCAAACAAGGTCGGAGAACGGGGCATGAGGGTGTTGCAGTTTGAGTTGTGCCTTTTCCCGCTGCGATTGTGAGCTCGGGCTCGCCGCCAAAGATTCACGGATGACGAACCCTGACTGGTGTTTGATGATGCTTGACCATGGCCAGTTCTGATGTGTTTTTGGTTTCAACCTCAGGAAGTAGATGTCACAGATTGGACCTGATTTCGTCTCGTGAGAACTTCTCGGATTTGGGCGCCATGGCGTCCAAGGCTTGCACGATCGTGCAACGGTTGTGAATCGCGGACTTGGTTATCCACTGACAGATCTTGGCAGTGCGTGCTGACTGCATTGCCCCTTTGGAGCTCATAATTGTATGCTGTTCACTTTGTCAGGGCTTTGACGACTTGCTGCCAGCCGGAGGTGACGGGTTCGCACAACTATTTACGAAAGAACCTTAATGTTGCAAAGCGTGTGAGACAATATTTGCTGCACAGAAGGGTTTTGAAGTTGATGGTTGGATTGTGCTGTAGCTGAAATCGTTGGCAAGAATAGTTAATTGAAGTGGCAGACTTGACTTTTAAGAAAGAATAAGATGAGCAAGCAAAAAACAACAGCTTTCAGCAATTTCCTATGAGCATGCAAGTCATGCAAGTCATGAACCATATAAAGTCGGACCTTCTAGACTGAAGACTATCGTCTTGAGCCGGGAAAAACGGTCATAAGTCTGACATGGGGAGAAACAGTCAGCTCTTCATCGCAAAGAATCACTAAGTAATTTGCTTTCAGCTTGAAGATGAGAGCAATGATAGCAAGCCGAACAGCTCATCTTTTGGACAAATATGTTCATACATTCCTCTCAATACGGAACGGTTCGATCAATGGCATTCACAACACCATGAAACCACAAGGTCTAGGATGTTGGTATTCATGAGTCTTGAGTTCTTTAGTTGAGACATTCAAAATTGTCAGATGAAAGTTGCATTTATGTTTTGTGTTTGTGGTGATGTTCAAAGATCATTATTTCCTCTTCCTTTGGCATTTCAATCTGTTGCCCTTCAACTGCCATAAATCCTTTCTCGTTGTGCTCATCTCAAAGGTCTTGATTGAGAACCGTGCTTACAATGAAAACAATGGTGTAGTTTAGCTTCGTGTTGGTTGGTTTTGGTTTCAGCGACGCTAAGTGGTGGTGCAGAAGTCAAGTGGTCTAGATCAGTAATGGTTTTTCATATGAAAAAAATGAAATAGAAATGTAAACATATGAAGAACTATAAATAAACATATACAAAAATCTTTTGAAATCGTTTAAATATTTATAAATCTTCAAAATCTTAAAAAATCCCAGAAGATCTCAAATCATCTCACAACCGGGGTTTCGTGGGAAAGGGTTTCGGAATTACCAAATAGTTTCCCAGGATCAAAATCTTAAAACATCTTAAAGAAATCTTAAACATGCATAAAACATGCAAAAATATGAAAAAAAAATGACAAAAGACAAAAATATATACATATTTATATAAAAATATAGTCCAAAAATAACAAATAACAAATAAATAAATATACATAGAAATAAATGCAAAAACATGTGAAAACACTCTCGTGGTGAGCGTTGCTGTTGTGTGGGCTAGTGTGTCAATGGGTTGCAGAAAATAGAAAACATAGTCTATAAAATCTAAAAAAACAAAAAAATATATGTTAAACATATTTAGTTCGTTGATTTTCTGTGTTTTTTCTGTTTTTTTTAGTTTAAACTGTGTTTTTTCGATCGATGCATGCAAAAACCATAGGAAGCCAAACCCGGGCTGATCCAATCCACCACTTAGTCTCAGTCATAGTTCCTATAATGTACTAATCATCACCGTCTTCAAATTTCAGAAGGCTGATTTGGTGTGTTGCCAAATGTGCTTTGGTGTTTCTGTAAAGTAGGATTGACTAGATTAGATAGCTTCTTCGGGGATGAGATACTGTAATACACATTGACGGCCGAAGACGGTGAAAAAGGTAAAAAAAGAGAATGATGTTATCGTCAAGGAAGGTCTGCGTGATGACTTCAAAAGCCATCAACGTCACAGGGGTAACAGCCAGAGAGCTGCTTGGTGGCGCCCAGCTGCTTGTTTGGCTGCCAGCCGCTTGATACCCAAAGCTGGCGAACCTAACCAGAGTCAAGGAAAGGAAGGAGCACGTGCGAAAAGGAAGCAGTGCCATCCAAGAATAGATATATAATCAGATATGGAGATGATGATGAAGCTGGTATAGGAATATAAAGCCTGCACCCAAACATAACACCCGTTCAGCCACAACAATTGTCCAAGTCAGGAACAAGAACATGCTGATGCTCTTGAACGATCGTTTGTGTGGTGCATAAACCCAAGTTCGCAACTTTTCCCAAACACAGATAAAGTTCAATGTCAACAAAATTTGCATGCTTGGATACTGTATAGGATATATGATGATATATGTAGATGCACTTGTGCACACGAGGTCGCGGTTGCTTTCTCTAATTGCTGAACAGTAACATGTGTGTGAACTTATGTTGCTGTGTGTGCAACGTTTGTCGATGTTTCAAAGCCCTTTCAGTTGGCTTGAACATCCCAGTTTTCAGACCCTTTCTTTGCAGTCACATGTCCAATAGATTGTCTTGCAGGTTCCTCTTCCAGGCTGGGAACACATGGTGAGAATTGTGTTGCCTCTAGCGTCATCGGATTGGCCAGTACAGGCTTGCTTCACGTGGGACCACGTAGAGTGTTCAATTCAAACAGGTTGAGCAATTTGGATCCAATGATTTATGCATAGTTGGACCTTGCAGCCAGCGGCTATCTCAAAAAGATACCATCGTATGTTTTGCCATACTCTGAGAGGCATTGCTAAGAACCTTTGAGCACCACTAGTCTCAAAACAAATTGGTCATACACAGACATCCGCAAACCTCAAAGGCTTTCGCATGCTGTCTCCGATTCATCTCCGGGCCAACGAAAGTCGGCCGTTACTCAGGCCTGGGAAAAGTCGGAGAAGACAAGAGCAAGAGGAAAGTGATGAAGGCCGGCAAAACGATAGGCTTTGGACATGACGTTTGCATGAGAGAAAATGTATCGTTTGTTTCCCATCTTCTTTTTTAGTCCTTCCGTGTGTGTTGATGTTGCTTCATGTTGCTTCTATTCTCTCACAGGTATGGCCATCCCGTGCTGTTGATGCCGAATATTAACAATGCTCTTTGTTCGCCGCGTTTGTAAACATGGGGAATAGGTGGAAGACTGAGTAGCAACAGTGAGTAGTAACAGTCCGATTCCTCCAGCAAGCTTGGGCGAACAAGTATTGCTACAGTCACAGAAATAATCATGGAAGTCGGGTTCACCACCGGCTTATAGAGGAAAATCCTATTCTATTTGTTGCCATGTTGCACTTCCATTCATTATTTGAAAGTGTAACAAATAAAACATTATTTTGTGTGGAACAAGAAGCTACTAGGGGCTCCTGGCATCGCTACTGGGAGCAAGGACGCTACTAGGGGCTCCTGGCCGTACTACTAGGAGCAAGAACGCTACTAGGGGCTCCTGGCATCGCTACCAGGAGCAAGGATGCTACTAGGGGCTCCTGGCATCGCAAGGACGCTACTAGGGGCTCCTGGCATCGCTACTAGGAGCAAGAACGCTACTGGCCGGCATCGCTACTAGGAGCAAGAACGCTACTAGGGGCTCCTGGCTGGCATCGCTACTAGGAGCAAGAACGCTACTAGGAACAAGAAGCTCTTGCAGATATGACTTCACATCATGTGAGGCCATCCAGAGGGGCCATATGGCCATGGTAGTTGGCTGAGCTTTGCGTACCGGGTAGGCTGGCTAGAAGAGGTCTACAGAGTCCATTCGATAGACCCCTAGTGGCTTCTAGTACTAATGGCCTCCAACCTAATAGCGATGGCCTCCACCGTGCGTAGCTTCTTGTTACTGGCTAGAAGAGGTCTAGAGAGTCTACACTGTATTGAGATCATGTGCATTCTTCACAGACTTTGCAACGGCTTTGCAGTAATGTTTGCCAACATGCATCAACCTACAGTACCGTGTGCCAGCATCATCGAATGGCTCAAGTGGACAGAGGTCCATGGCATGAGGGACATTCTGATGCCTTCCTCACCTCTTGCAACACCAACAATTGGCAACAAGCCCTTCAATTGCTGCCTTCCATTCATGTGAAAATTGCTGGCAAGTTGGGTGCTCAAGGAGCACGTTTGGCAAGTCGGGCTTGCTCTCACTTGCTGGCAAGTCTTGCAAGGGAAACAAACTGGCGCGCTGCGCAAACATTCTTCAAGGCCTTGCCAAGCTTGGCACCTTCCATTCCATACACGCCTGGAATCATCTCAGCTTTTCTGAGTTCCTATGCACAGAAACGCTTTTGGCAACAGTCACTTGATTTTCTCAATTCCATTCATTCAGGGAATCCTCTCTCAAGTTCTTTGGATGCGGCAGTTTACAACACGGTGATAACAAGCTGCGCGCGCGCTTCAAGGTGGCCTTGGTCACTTTGGCTTTTGGAAGAGCTGATCTCCTGTGAATCTCGTCCAAGAGCAAACCTTCTCACCTTCAACGCTGCAATTCATGCGTGCGAACGGCGCGGCCTTTGGTCCCACGCGCTTCTTTTGTTGCAACAAATGAAGGAGAACAAGGTCACGCCTGACTCAGCATCATTGAACTGCATTTTAAGTGCATGTGAGAAGGGACAGCAATGGCAAATGGCCATTGCACTCCTTCCTTGGTTCTCGACTTACAAATGTCCCCGCACCATTGTCACCTATGGCGCTGTGGCTGCAGCTTGCACAGCCGGGGTGGCGTGGGAGGCAGCCATCGCTTCGCTGCTTGAGCTTCTTTGGCTACAAGTTCCTCCCAGTACTGAAGTCTTCAATTCCACGGTTGAAAGCTGCAAGCGTGGTTGGGCCTGGCAGCAGTGTCTAGCCGCCCTGGCCCTCGAGCTCAACGCCCTCAATTCCAAGACAGTTGTCATGCACAGGTCAGTCAGTCAATCGCTGGTTTTAGCACAGGTGAGTTGCCGGGCGTGTACCTCCACAGGTCAGTCTTTTCCACAACCGCTGGTGCTGCGGCACCTTGAGCTCAAGCCGTCCAAATTGGAATGGACCGGATCTCCGATGGTGGCATCCGATCGATGGCTGGAAGAAGCCAATGATTTGGGCGGTCTCCTAGCGAGGCATTCACTGGAGCGCAACCAACTGTGCTCGTCTACATTTGTGCACGAAAAGAAGCTGAGATATGTGTGTCATTTTCCGGTCTTTCAAGATCAGTGAAGTGTTTATAGTCCTACAAGTGAGCCATTGATCACAGTGTGACACACGACCTAAGGCAGTGATAGCTTCGGCCAGTACAACAATTTTGCGAATGCAGCACATATGCTGTGCAGGCCCGGCTTTTGACATGTCCTTCCATGTGATGATTGTGCACGATCCTTTCGGGGTACAGATTTGACCTTCGTTGCAGAGGAAGGCGGCATATGGTTGTTGCAACGTTTTGCAAATGGCTGATATGATTTGTGGGATTCTAGTCGTTGGTTTTGACAGGAGAAGGCTTGCACAACTTTGTGGCTCAAGAGCAGTTCTGTATTCTCTAGAACACAGAGTGGGAGATGCCTGCATGACATTCCTGTTCCATGGGCCCACCCTGAAGTTGAACACTGTTCAGAAGCTACACATCAAACACAGAACAGAACATGACAGAACCATTTGCTTTCGCTTCTGGCTAATGTTCCATTTGTGTCATGCGGCGAGACAGCTTTGAGATCGACACTTCGCGGCTGCGTGAGCCGCAGAGAGCTTCGACTGAAAGAACTTCGTTTGTCCTCAATGCGCACGACGCAGCTGGCAAAGGTTCATCCTTTGTTTACATTTCAAGTGGCAAGGGTTGCTTGCACAGCTTGAATCTAGCAGTTTTTTTGTTTTTTATATGTCGTGTGGATGTGTTAATTGTTTCTTTGCTGCTTATTGTATTACTTATGTATACTTATGTCATGTCTGTTTAGGTATGGGCAGGTTGATGTGATCATTCATATATATATATATATACAATATGTATATATATATTCCTTTATAGCGTCGAAATGAACCAGGTCGCATGTTGCCCTTCTCGATCAGCCGATGTTCCGCTATCGCATCTCAAGCGAGGGCGGGTGTGGAGAGGATTCGCTTGTGCCATGGTCTGAGGAAAAGGGGCTGCGACGGTGAGTGGGTCCTTGGCTAAGGACAACCGGATTTCGTGGGTGAGGACACCCTTCATTGGTACATTGGTGTGGTCACCATTTGTTGTTGGATTGGACATTGAGCATTGTCTTTTCTTTGGAGTGGTCTCCAACCAGTTTTGGTTGAACCTCGTGGGCGAGGAAGCTACCAATCCTTTTGTGATTGGTAGCGGAGCCCGGTCGATTGTGGGATGGCTACAGCTAGTTCAGAGACGACACAATCCCTGACGTCGCAATTGGCACAGCTGGTCCCGACCTTTGACCCGGGTGTTGATAGTGTTGAGCAGTGGTCGCAAAAGATCAGATTGATCTTGCAAGCTTGGCCGGAATCCCGCTTGAGAGAATTGGCAACCCGCATTGTTCTCAATACAAAGGGCTCGGCGTTTCAAAAGCTTGAACTTCGACAATCTGAGGTTTTGACAGGTGACAAGGGTGGCATTGAGAAGATCATTGAGATCGTATCAGGGCAATTCGGACAGATCGACTTGGAGAAGAAATATGAAATTGTCGAAAGGGCCATCTACAAGTGCGTCCAAAAACCGGATGAAAGTTCGGATTCCTTTTTGGCTCGCAGCGATGTCACCTGGACCGAAGTGTTGATGAAGAAGGTGTCCCTCCCAGAAGTTCAGGCCTACATTGTTTTGCGTGGCAGTCGACTGTCCCCTGAGGACAAAAAGCGTGTGTTGGTTGAAGCCGGAGCAGAATCTGGTGGAGCTCTGACCATGCAAAAAGTTTAAGCAGCAGTGAGGATGCTGGGATCCTCCTTTTTTCAGGAGATGACTTCAGGGAAAAGAGAAAAATCCTTGAAGACCTACGACAGCACCGCATTCGTGGCCGAAGAGGACAACGATGAGGAACCCGACTGGTCATGGAATGAAGAATACATGGACGAAGAAAATCTTGAAGCATTGGCCCAAGATGATCCCGACGCAGCATTGGTTGTTCAATTTGAGGCTGCAATACAAGACGTGATTCAAGATGATCAAGATTTGTCAGCATTTTTTCTTCGTATACCAAGATGCCCGTCGGAGACTCCAGGATCGTGTGAAGGCCCGAGGCTTTTGGAGTGGTGGCAAAGGTGCCTCAGGTTCCAAAGGTTTCAAAGGTAAAGGTAAGGGAAAGGGGTTCAAAGGCTCGAAAGGTTTCCGCAGCCTTCAACAACGCATTGCCGAATCGTATTGTCGGCACTGCAACCAGAAAGGTCATTGGCGTGCAGAGTGCCCAGTTCGCAAGTCTGCTGAAAGCCAAGGGAGTGGATCCGAGAAGAGTGCATATGTCGCCCCAACATCCGCAGCCGTATCGTTCGACCTCGACCAAGTTCCAGAGATTTCGTTCGAGAACAATGAACATCCTGAGGACACCGATGTTTGTGTTTTCGGTTTGGTCGAACAAAGAGTCAAGTTCTTTGAAGAGAAGTTCAAAACAAAGCTTAGAGCTAAGCCCCAAAGCCCTGTCAGGAAGAGCCGTGATGCCTGTCTTCCTGAGGTGAGCGCTCAAGCCAGACAATCCAAATCCGACTCGATTGAGGAGCTTCCGAGCCTGTTCGCATCAGTAGGAACTACAGGAGTAGTAGACCTTGGTGCCTCACAAACGGTGATTGGAAGCGAACAGGTTTCCGAATTGTTAAACAATTTACCTAGTGAGATCCAGAGACAGGCCCGGAAGACGAAATGCAATCTGATTTTCAAGTTTGGAAACCACCAAACTCTGCCGAGCAAAGTGGCGCTCCTCCTGCCGCTCCAAGGAACCTGGATTCGCATAGCCATTGTCGAAGGGCGGACTCCATTTTTGTTGTCAAGCAGTTTCTTGAAACGTGTTCAAGCGGTCATCGACACCGAAAAAGGGACATTGTGGTCAAAACGCCTGAACCGAAACTTGCACATGACTCAAACCAACAAGAACCTTTTTCTGTTAGACATCAACCAATTGTGGGAGTCACCAACCTCGAAACAGTGCAGCGAGCCGGATTCCGTCTTGATCGTCAAGAGTTCTCCGCAGGAAAGCCACGACGGACCAATCAATCCCGATCAATGTGTGAAAACGTTTCGTGCTGTGCCAGCTGAAGTCAAGGGCCGGGAACCGTCCGAAGGTAAGAATTCGTGCAGTTCGACAAGTTCATCGGCCGTTTCGGAGCGTTTTCCGACACATGACATGAAGCATGAATCACAGTTGGAGGTTCATCAACTCCTAGCTCTTCGGTCATTGCCGCTCCCGGTGACCCGTGTTGTGAGCCCGATCATGTCCGCGCTGTCCGCTCAGCTGCTTCGCCTCCAGAAGCACCAGAAAGAAGAGGAAGACCAGGTCGAGATCGACGAGATGACACTGGCCGACCTCGAAACTCAGGTGATCATGTTCGGCAAGACGAAGATGGGTTGCAAGTTTCCCGAAGCATTTGCCGACACTCAGTGGACCAGATTCGTGGTGAGCAAATTCGAGAGCTCAACAAAAAAGGAACATCGAATGTATGTCCGATATGTGCAACTCCGTCTCGACCAGATGGAAAAAGAAGAGCTCAGCCCAGAGGATCGGTACTGCCTGCATCAGACAACAGTGGGACCTACATCATCCAAGACGACCGAGCGGAAAGGTCCCATGACTGCTCTGAAATCCAAGGCCAAACCAAAGGCCTCTTCAGCAAGTGTGCCGACCTATGCCCCAGATCCTCAAGGCCTGGACCTAGCAATGAGCCCGTCGTTCCCAGAGGAGCTCTACGATCTGCAAGGGCGCATGAACTCGGTGGAACACACCCTACAAGAGATAGTCCATCATCTGAGGACGCTGGCCAGTGCCCCGGTAGAGCAGCCCTGCAACTGGACTGTGATCAAGGAAGAGCATCCGGAGATCTAGAAGAGCCAGAATATCAAAAGCTCACAGCTGAGTGTTTCAGTATCAATCATTTTGGAGAGCCTCAATTCGATTTTGACCTATGGGATGAAGCCAAGACACGAGCAGCATACCAGACTCTTGTTCGTAAGTATCGGAAAGAGTTCTCACAAGCACAACAGGTCATTCGACAGCACGCAAAAGAACCGACATTTTTGTATTCTGCTCTTCGCAAAGCGAGCTAGTCCGCCAAAGTCAAGCCCTATGCCTGAAGGCTTTTCGCTTCGGGTTGATGCAAGGTGATCTCAGAAACGAGAACCATAGGAAAAACATGTTTGCACATATTCTTTTCGAACAACCAGAGAATATTTGGATAAGTCCTGAGTGCAAACCATGGTGTAAGTGGACCTCACTGAACTTGAACAAGTCCATTGAAGCATTCGAGAACACCATGAATCAACAAAGGGAGCATCTTTGGCAGATTGCAATTGTTCAAGCGTTGTTCGAATACCAAGTTGAGAGAAACAAACACTGTCATGTCGAACAACCCGACGGTTCAAAGATGCTGAGACACCCCAGTTTTGTCCGTATGAGCCAGATTGCAAAGCCGAGCAAATTCGACGTGTGCATTGTGGGAGATCTTTCTCATCCCCAAACAGGAAAACCCATAAGAAAAAGACTTGTGGTCCTGACAACCTCCAAAGAATTTCATTTGATGTTGCATTTTCGATACTGTCAGAAGGATCATGAACACCCTCAGATCGCGGGACATGTTCGAGACCCTGAAACGTCCAAGAGCATTCAACTGTCATCGTTCACCGAACGATATCCAAGAAAGTTTGCAAGGCAGGTAGTCGCATGTCTAAATCGAGAGCATCAAAGACCCCAGTGGATCTTCGTCGAAGAAACGAGTTTGGGAGAAGATCACCCCACAAAAAGAAGAAGATTGTGTCAAAAGACTTCAGCAATAGATCTAATAAACCCAACATGGGAAACCATCATGCAGGAAGCAAATCGTCTCGCAAAACGAGTATAGGACCATCAGTCATCCACCTGGGGAACCATTTGACCACCAATTTGGTGGCCATTTGCTTCTCGACCACGTTTGGAAAATTTCACGGCCATATCTGTGTTTCACGGCCATTCGGGCCCGCGTATTGAAATTCACGTTTTTCACGTTTTTTCACGGCCATTCAGCGTTTTTTCACGGCCATTTGCACACTTTTTCACGGCCATATGTCCTGTTTCACGGTCATTCCGGGTTTCACGGCCATTTGCTTTTTTCGCGGCCATTTGGCCAAACGACCACCGGCCACCAAATTGGTGGCCAAATGGTTCCCCAGGCA